CCTCCTGGCTGGTTCCCGAGGTGAGAAATGGAGGCTTTACCTTGTAGCCTCCACACTAGGGTTTCTCAGCTTGGCATTGGTGACATTTTGGGCTGGATAACTCCTGTAGGTTCCCCCGTAAGTATTGCTTGGTGAGCAGTGTCTCTGGCTTCTTCACACTGAATGCTAAAAGCACCTCTACCCTCAACACCTCCTCATCCCTATCCTTACCCTGTTCCTACCCGGCTCCCATCATTAAGATTAGAGAATGTTCTAAATATCACCACATATATGCTAGGGAAGAGCCACTGGGCTGTAGAGAAGGATTAAACATTTTTAAAAAATTATATTAGTTCATCTGTTTTTACGCTGAGTGTTTTCTTGCATGTATGTCTGATTTCATTGCTTCTTTTCTTCATTTCTGGGCCACAGGAACATTCTGGGCCATCAGAAAATTCTGATGAAAGTACCCTATAGAGGAGTACTTTGTTTTCTTCTTTAAACTTTACTTCAACAATATAAACTTTAAATAATGTCATGCCTGCATTTTGGGAAGACCTTAGACTAGAGACTTGATGTTGGAAAACCAAAGTGGTGTGAGTTGGTGCTTTGGTTGCTCTGGGGTGAGCTTGGATGAGACCTCTCAAGCTGATGTTTTACGTTATGGTCAATTCCAGGAAAAGCCACCACCAGTCACCATTCACTGCTTCTTTGGAAGATGGTTAGTGACGTTGGTTTGAGATAATGTTTTGGAATGTTTGTGTTAGCATGTGGATCTGCAGTGGTTTGAGATAATGTTTGTGGGGGTAAGTGCATCTGCAGCATACTTTTGGGCTGGAGAGATGTCTCCATGGTGAAGAGGCCTTGCTGCTCTTGCAGAGGGACCAGGTTTGGTTCCCAGCACCCACATGGTACTGCAACCGCTTCTAAGTCCAGTTCTAAGAGGTTTTTATACTCTCTTCTGGCCTCTTCAGGCTTCGCATGTCCTGGTGCATATAAAGTCTCAGGCAAAACACTCATAGACATATACTTAAAAACTTTTTTTTAAGTTTTTTTTTTTTTTTTTCTATTGGAGTGTGCCTCTGGTACTATGAATTGAATTGTCTGAGCTGTATCTGGCTTTACTGTACCATAGAACTCCATGGAGATGCTATAGCTAAATTAACTTATGAAGTTGGGCATCATGGCCCATGCCTATAATTCCAGCCCTTTGGAGGCTGAAATAGGAGGATCGTGTGTTTGAGGCCAACCTCAGCTACATAGTGAGACTGTCTTTTAAAAAAAAGAGGGGGGACAGTGAAATGGCTCATCTGGTAAATAAGCATGATGACTTGAGTTTGATGGTTGGCACCCACAGAGGAGAAACAAAACAAAACAAAACAATTCCCTAGAGTTGTCTTCTGCTTTACACATGTGCAGCATGGCACACAAATGCACACACACGTGCCCGTACACGCACTGCACAGATAAAGCAGCACACACATTAAACGACGTACGATACTATTCTCAGTTATTGTCCGGCACTTGTGCTTGTCCTGAAATTCAGAACAAATTGAGTCCCCACCAAAGGAGTCGCACATGACCTGGCCAAAGTGCCAGTGGAAGCAAACGCTGATGCGGGTCAGACTGTAGCTTTGGAAGCCCTGACTTGAACCCACAGGTATCTTCTTCTAATTAGCTCCCTGGTCTTCAGTGACAACTGTCCATCAGAATCATTATGGACTTCAATGAAAATGGCACTGCCAGGCCAACCCCGGAGTCTCTGCCTGGGTTGAATTGCTGTGGGCGGGCCCCACCCCTGGCTTCCATTGCAAACACTCCACCTCCAGGAGATGATTGTATTCATCTGGGCTGAGGTACAGGAAGTTGCCCAAAGCTGCGTTGACCTTTGCCCTCTATCCCCTCTCGTTATTTATGCAGTTGTTGCTACAGGCTCAGTTTAGTCACAGCATTGAGCTTTTATTAGTCGTGATTTTTATTTATTCTTGTGGGGGGGAAGGTTTCTTTAGCATATTTATTCTGAAGAGCTCTTAGTTGCCGTACTTAGAACTCTCAAATGCGAACATTTGTCAGGCATCAAAATAGCAGAGTGAGCAAGTCGGACTTGGGGCGACTGCTACATTGTCTCCTGTGAGTGCTCATCTCCTGGATTCTGGGCCTATTAACCAGTGACCTAGAAACACTTTTTCCTTCTTTCTTTTTTGGTGAATAAGCAATCTGTTTTGTACCCACACCAGCGAACACTCAGCATTAAGCTCTGCTGGAGCCCTCCCTCCATGTGTCTTTAAGCTCTGTGAGCCACGTCTCACTCTGCCATCACAAAGCCCATGCACTTGTTTTTCTAAAAGGGCGCTAAGTGCTCAGGTGGGAAGAGCTGTGGCCTGTGCGGTCCTCCCTGGTGTATGTTACGTGTGTCCTCCTGTGGCATGTGTATGACCCTTGATTACCAAAGGACAGAGGAAGGGCCGTTCCTCTCTCCTCAGGCGGCCTGCGGCTGACCAGCGCAGTCAGGAACAAGGAGACACTCAAGACCACCCCAAGTAATCCCTGTGGAGGCAGGACCACTCTTCCTGTGCGTGCATGTGTATTTGTGCGAGAGTGTGTGTGCGCACGCACACGTGTATTTTGGCTAGGAAGTAGGCTTGTGAGAAGTGTTGGAATTTCTAACCCAATGTGAGAGTTTTGAAAAATACATTTATTTCTGGATTTTAATCCCTGTTGCCCATTTCTATGAATAATCACTGTTTGTCTCAATGTGAATAATAGCGTACAGCACATTCAGCCCCCTGAGTGTTACCATTTCAAGCAACTGGTATAGGCCTGTGAGGCATGTGCTGTTTACAAAGTGGCAGAGATTGTAATAAAAATGGCAACAGTCATAGTAGTGGTTGACATTTGTCAAGCCCTCACTGTGCCAGGGAAGTACTTAATTGTGAAGATGACTGAAGAGGCCTGAGAACTATGCCCATTTTACAGGTGAGGAACCTGAGGTTAGGGGAGGTCACACAGCTCATCAGTGACAGGTCAGGTTGTACACAGAACAGCCCAGCTCTGGTTGTTAGTTCATTTGGCTGCTGTTGGGTATAGAGAGAGCTGTCAGTGAGTGAGTCCTGTCCCACCAGCCTGGTCACTGGGTTGAGCGTGGTAGCAGAGCAGTGTCTCTCATTGCTGCAGGGAGGGGGCTGACCTCTTTTAGGCTGAGATGTAGTCTGGGGCCGCAGAAACAGGACTTTCACCTGCTGGGAAGAGCCTCAGTGCTCATCAATAACCGGCTCCCACAGTCCCGTTACCAAGGCAACAAAGACGGGACTGTGGGGCAGCAGTGGGCACCGCCATGTCCCTCCACACATAGGAGCTTGTGCTTGCTGTTGCCTTCACTTTGCCCTTCACACAGTACTTAAACCCAGCACTGAGGGACACATTCTCCTCTGCCCATAGCTCACCCACAGGGCACCTACATATGTGTGTGAGCACCCTTCTGGTCCATGCCCTGCAGAGCTTGTCATGCAGCTTCTGTGATGTCTCCTGAGCATGGTGTTGGGTATTTGGCCACCTTCAGTCCCCCACTTCCTGTAGACTGACAGAAACCATGTCTCAGCCAGCAGGTTCCTTAACCTCTCCAGGCTTCACTTTCCTCATGTCTAACAACAGGAGGATAATAAATCATTTCTGCCTCCGAGAGGTGGGGGGATAAACAAATAAGATATTTGTAGTGTTCAGATAGAACCAGGCGAGTCCCAGCGTGAGCGGATGAGTCTCACGTTGACACTGCAACAAGTCATCACAAACCTAGAGGAGTAAAAGAACACACACCTGTTAGGTTGTGGTTCTAGGGGCCAGAAGTCCGAGCAGGTTGCTCCGGGCTAAAGTCAGCAGAGATGAGGCTTGTGTTCTGCCTATAGGCTGTGAGGAGAGTCAGTCCTTGCCTTGTCTGGCTCCTAGACTCAACCTGTTTGTCAGAGGACAACTGTGGGTGTTGGTCCTTGCTTTCTATGTGGTTTGAGATGGACCTCTTGCCTTGTGGCTCCACAGGACATGAGCTTTCGGGGAGCCTCTTATCTCTTTTCTCCGCCCTGCCATGGAATACTGGGCTACACATACGTGCTTCCAGGCTCTGTTTTATGTGCGCTCTGGGGGTTCTGACTCAGTTCTTCACCCTTGCACAGCAAAGCGCTTCACTCCCTGAGCCATCCCCCTCAGCCTGACTCTGCATCTTCTATGCCAGCTGTGTAGATGTTCACATCGCTGACCCTGCACCCTGCCTCCACGTTTGGCTTTCTGTCCCCCATGAGGACCTGTTCCGGTAATCCAGGATAATCTCTGCATTTCGGGACCATTGATCTAACCACAGCTATAGAGCCTGCCCACAAATAGTGAGGTGTCTAGCTTCTGGATGGGACGTCAGCATCTTTGGGGGAGGGAGGGAGAGTGCAGCCTGGCTTACCACCATAAATACAAATGGTTTACGAAAACAAACCAGAATGGAACAGACAAGCTTGGGGGAGGAGCAGAGAATGTTACAGTGTGTCCTCACGAAAAGCACTCGGTCAGCTTGTCCTGTCTCAGCGCAGGCTGCTAGGCCCCATCCCTCTAGCTTTCTTCCATCTAGATCTTGTGTCCCTAGAATCTTCTCAGCAAGTTCATTTCTCATCATCCCACCATATAGTTGCGCAAACCAAGGCCCTGAGAAGCCAGCTCTGGCCCCGGGTTTCCCTTGACTCTGCACCAGGTCTACCTGCCACAGCCCTTGCTTCCTTTTTGCCTCCTTACCCCATGGCTTTCATGCAACTAGAAGATGCTGGAGCCTGCTCTGCTGCAGAACGCACGCAGGTCTGCCGTTTCCACAGCAGCTTCCAAATTATTATTAATTTTTGTTTGTTTGTTTTTCAAGACAGGGTTTCTCAGTGTAGCCTTGGCTGTCCTGGAACTCACAGAGATCCGCCTGTCTCTGCCTCTTAAGTGATGGTACTGAAAGCATGCACCATCACTGCCCGGTGTTTAATTATTATTTTTATATCTAGGTCTGTTGTGTCGGGTCTGGACTCCCCTGCCAAGACTAGCTCCATGGAAAAGAAACTTCTCATCAAAAGCAAAGAGCTGCAAGACTCTCAGGACAAGTGTCACAAGGTATTTATCTCCGCAGCTGGCCTCCGTCCTTGCTCCAGGATCCTCCAGTCAATATATGCCAAGGGATCCGCCAGGGGGCGCTGCTGGCGCTGAGCCTGCCAATCCATAGAGAGCGAGGTGCCGCCTCCCTCGCTGAAGTCACGCCTCCAGCAGCTCGGAGGGACATGAATTCGGGCCTAGACGTTGCCATAAATTCTTTAAATCTTAACCAGAGGAGGCCCTGGATTTAAAACGGCCCGTTTCTCAGCATGACCCAGCCCGATGTCCACTTCTTACGGCAGGTGGCCTGGGTCCTCACCTGGGGCTGAGAAGCGTCCCATCTGCTCGGAGTGAGGCGAAGTCTGTCTTCCTAGTCTTTTAACACTCCTGCTTATGTCACTGCGGCCACTGTGTTGATTATGCTCAGCGTCTCTTAACACTCACTGTTCCTGCCCAGAGGCAACTCTCTGAAAACTTAATAAAAAACCAGTGCTTGTGTGGGACTCCTAAGAGTGCAGACGAATAATTACCTCTCGGCCTTGTCCTGGATCTGTCCTCTAGATCTTTGCAAGGAGATGGGGGGGATCAAGATGGATTTAGGATAAAATTAAAGTGACTTCTGTGTAAGCCAAACCAATTCCAAAAAAAAAAAAAAAAAAAAGGCAAACAGGTGAAAAATGATGATGGTGGCTTCTATGCTAAGTGGGTTAGAGAAGTGACCGAGCGAAGCAGGACTTGGATGACAGGAGTGACCTAGCGTTTGGTGACTGTCTTTTTGAAGAACTGTATGCTCCTGTGCGAAGAAGCAATGGTATTTCCATCCCAGCTCTTGGTGAATTAGCGGTAACCGCCCCCCAGACCACCAGGTGGCCTAGGGGCCTGCTTGACGTGTGATTGCTCCCATGGCACCTCCCGGGGCCCTTTTAACCTGTCCGTGTGTTTATTTCAGATGGAGCAGGAAATGACCCGGTTACATCGGAGAGTGTCAGAGGTGGAGGCTGTACTTAGTCAGAAGGAGGTGGAGCTGAAGGCCTCTGAAACTCAGAGATCCCTCCTGGAGCAGGACCTTGCCACCTACATCACAGAGTGCAGTGTGAGCCTTCCCCAAAGCCCCCTTCCCTTGGAGGCGGCACTTCCTGTCGTGCGTGTCTCATCCTGTTCCATGACAGCTCCATGAGGCACATCACAGCCAATGGCAGAGAGTAGAGACAGACTGAGTTGAAAGGCAAGCTCCGAGATTGGCAGAGAGAATAGCATGAGCTAGGTGTGAGGTCCCCCAGGAATCGGACTGGAGTGTTCAACAGAAACCCCACGTGGGCTGCTGAGTATCACAGAGCTCAGAGGTGGAACTCAAATGTCACCGAAGCCTTCCACAGAGGGTGCTGACATCAGTCCCAGCCTCTCTGTCTGTGCTGTGTCTGACATGATCAGCTTTGAGGACTTGAACTCCCAAATTTGTACCAGAAAACATAATTTGAATCTATCTGAAATCAATATTTTATTCCCTTAGAAGCGTTACAGTACCAAGGAAATTCAGCCTTTGAGACCCAAACCCTCTGTCATTATTTCTCATGCGACTCCATTTTTTTTCCTTTCCTTCACAAGAGTAGACTGTCTTATCCATTGTCTCGTGGACTCTCTCATTCAGGTGTTTTTCTAATGTGCCCAATTAAATAATCTTAAGACATTGAATCACACATTTATAAAGTTTTTATTTTTTTCTTTTTCTCACAAGGGAGAGGAAATCTATAGGATGTGGCTGATTAAGAATAACTGCTTATGTTTGCGTTCCAGACTTGGCTGCCTTTCAGTGGTGGGTGAAGTTATTCAGCTGTGTGTTTCAGCTGTCTCTTTGAGTGCTGTTGAAGCACGGAGGGAAACTGGTGGACGAAAGGTGTCTAGGACATTGGTCAGGAGGTGGTTAGGTTAGTCAGCTGGACTCTGAAACGACAGCCGGGAAGGCGATGAGGCCGATGCTTCTTTGAAACAGACGTATACACTGGAGAGTCTGGAAAAGCTCTTCCTAGTCTAGAATGCCCTAGATAGTCATGGAGGTGGTGGTTGTAAGAGACATGGGATCTTATTGGTTTTCAATCCCGAACACACAAGTAAGTAGCTGCCAGGATAGGGAGACGATGCCAGGTGGTTAGCTGCTAGAGTTTCAGGTTCTGCCCCTGCAAAGTTGCGATGACATTTCTTCCGCCAAGTAGCTTTTACAGGGTGAAAACCGGAATCGGCAACCGCTGCGAGTTGTCAACTGTGTTCTGCCACCCGAGACCTTCCCGGTGTCTGCGAAGCTCTCCTAATGAACCTTTTCAACCAGAACAGGATCCACGGGGCATCCCTATTAAAATCTTTGCTTTCCGCAGAGCTTAAAGCGAAGTTTGGAGCAGGCGCGGATGGAGGTGTCGCAGGAGGATGACAAAGCGCTGCAGCTTCTCCATGACATCAGAGAGCAGAGCCGGAAGCTCCAGGAGATCAAGGAGCAGGTATGGCTGCTCGCTCAGAGCCATGTGGCCCAAAGCTGGCCCGAACCACTAACTTCAGGCATGTTTGAGAGGCAGAGGTTGCCGGAATAAAGGGTGGGGACACAGAGGGAGTGAGATAGGCAGACAGGTCATGCCACACCTTAACTTCTCTATGATCTATATAAATCACACCAGCTGGCTTGCTCCTCTCCTTTTGAAGGCTGCAACTCATAATAGCCGCTGCTTTTAATAAGGAACACAGGTGGGCAGATTGCAGCCTAGGGGGCAGAGCTGGCCTCCTGCCTATTGTCTGTGGCTCTTAGACTGAGAGTGGCTTTTCTATTCTTAAGTGATTAGGGAAAGAAAGAAAAAGAAAAATACTTTATGACATGCGATTTTGTGAGAGTTAAATTTCAGTTTGCATAAAGTTTTTTTGGAACACAACCGTACTCATTTATGGTGGCTTGTGCACTAAACCAAAGGGAAACCGAAGGGAGCAGTTTGCACAGAGGGTGCGGCTCTCAAGACAAAACTGCTTACTCTGTCTTTTTTCCAAAAGTTTACCAGACCCTGCTTTGGATGATCCCAAAAGAATTCAGTATTTTTATAGCTCTTCAGATGCACTTTCAGTTGTAGAGAGAGACCAAGATGATTCATAGTTTCACATATTGTTTTAAAAAAAAAAATCGTAGAAGAAAAGTTTGAGCTATTGAGAGTAGTTAGAATTAACACAGTAAATCTGAGTACACAAAGCCCTCCTGAGTTTCCAGAAGAGAACAGAGACCTTTAAACAGCCTACTCCTTTCCCCCCCAATCTTTCTAAAAAGGTTTTCTCTTTAGAGGCTCATTTTTATATCGCCTCATTGTTTTCTTTTTAGCTTGGGCTTTTTTTTTTTTTTTTTTTTTTCTGTCTTTGAAGAAACTGTAAATAGAAACTTTAATGAAGAGATGGAAATGAGTAATTGGAGAGCTGAATTATCAGCTGCCAGGCAACTCTCATTCACTTCAGGAAACCTAATGGGAACACTGGTGGAAAGCCTTCTCGTCCCTGGGTATTGCAGACTTGGCCATCTGGGTGGTGCAAGTGAATGAAATTTCTGCAGATAGCTCAACCCGTTAGCCATTCTTTAAAGAAACTATTATCCTGGGGTGCAGGGGGGCTTGTTTGTATATTCTCCTTTTCACCTCAATTTTTTTAAATGATAGGTTGACACCCTCCTGCTGTGTAAGAACATTATAAAGAAATGTTCACAGGGAACTTTGCAAATGGGCTGTCAGGTCTGTGCACAGTGCCCCTTCCGAGGCTCTGAAGGGCACAGTCGTGCCCTGGGACTTCTGTTTTGACAGGTGACTCATATCCCTTTCAGCAACATAGTTTTTCTTTCTTTCTTTTTTTGTTCCATCCTGAAGGTTGCAAGAAGTAGGGTTCTTTATCTCTCATCAATTCTTTGTGTTTGGAAATTAATTTTGGGGACATCCTGGGGAAATGAAAGCTGCCTTTGGCCACCAGAGGGAGCAGCTGGTGTCCGTGAGTTCCATAGAAAGAGAATTAATCAGGACATTTTGAAAAGCCCTATGCTGGTGGTTGAGTTCAAAGAGATGTCTTTTGTGATTCATATCACAGCTGGCATGCATGTGGAGTTTCAGATTTAATGACTGCCAAAACTTCTGATGGGGCCAGAGAAAACTTTTTGGTTCTGGATTTTACTTCTCATCAAAGAAGGATATGTTAAACATGACTTTTTTTTTTTTTTTTTTTTTTTTTTTTTTTGTATGTGCAGGCTGTTTATAGACAAAGAGAAGGCTTTCTTTTACGGCTTACAGCAAACACATAGTATTTAGTTTTTGGCACACTTAACTTCTCACGGATTTAGGGTGAATCCTCAGATTTTCCTTCCAGAATTGTACTCCTGCTCATTTTTGTTTTCAATCCTCTGTTTTGACCCAGTTATTTATTAGGGAGCATGGCTAGCAGGCACTTCTCATAGTCAGACTCCAACCCCACAAAACAGAGTGACAGTTCTTCTCAGAAATCATTTGTGCCCCCAGGACTTCCGGGGAATAGGACCATCCCCACAAAGTCCCGAAGCGCTGTATGGGAAGACTCGTTGCACGTGGACAGTCAGTGGTCTCTTTCTCCATCCTGACCCTTTCCCCTCAGCACCGGGAGTCATTCCATGCTGAGCTACAGCAGCTTCCTCAGCTGCCTTGCAGACAGACCTGGTGCTGTGCGCTCAGCTCCCTTCTGCAGGCAGGGGCTTGCCAAGCTGTGGCTTTATAGGATTTCCTCAGAGTCTCCTATAACGGAAGACGGGCTGGCGAGAGAGTCCCTTCAGCTGCCTGTAGTGGTTGAGCCAGGACTCCTGGAGCAGGAAGGGACGATGCTTCTTTTCCCTCCCAGTGCAGACAGCTCAGGAGACGGAGGCATCAGGCTGGGGACCAGGGCAGGGGCTTTCGCCCTTGCTCTGGAAAAGAAACACAACAGTTACGTTTTCTTCACAAGTTTAAGAACAAAAAGGGAGCTTGAGGGCTGGAGAGATGGCTCTGTGGGTAAAGGTGCTTGCCTCCAATCATAGTCACCACGCTTGGTCCCTGGGACACACATGGCAGGAGTGTCCTAAGTCCTGCAGGTTGTCCTCTGAGCTCCACAAGCCACACCATGGTCCGGACAGACAGACAGACAGACACACACACACACACACACACACACACACACACACACACACACACGAATAAATGTCATACTTTTTTTTAAAGGATGACCTTGAGACAAAAGGTGCCAAAGACCTAGATCTTTGCTGCCTTCTTGGCTTGAGAGGTCACGTCTTCCGGCAGGCTTCTGTTTACACTGTCAGCATAACGGGCCTGGAGGCAGGGGGCCACCGTACTCTTAGGATGGGACAATGATCTGGAGTAATAACTATCACATAATACTCCAGTATTGTATCTTCTCTTGTATGTCGCCCTGGCTGGCCTTCAACTTGGGACCCTCCTGCCTCAGTCTCCCAAGCGCTCAGATTACAGCAGTGTACCACCACACTTGGCTTAATTTTTTTCCTTTAAATTAAAAAAATGAGATTTTTAGGTCATAAGTATTGCTTTTATAGACAGTATTAACATTTTAATACTATATGAATATAGTCTTAAAGTCTAATAATGTAAAATATATGACTATGTGAGTATATATGTGTATTTGCATATATGTAAATATATGTCTTTTTTTTTTTTTTGCTGTTTTTGAGACAGGGTCTCATATAACCCAGGCTGGCCTCTAACTTGCTATGTAGTTGAGGATGACCTTTGAACTCCTGATCCTCCTTTTCTGGCTCCTAAGTGCTGGGATTACAGACACGTCATTTCAGTCTTCTTCCTCTTTTTCTTCCTCCTCTGTTTCTTTTTTTTCCTAAGGGATGAAAGGAAGGTCCCATGCTAAGAGTCATGACAATCATAAGGTACCCTGGATAAGGAGGGTATGACAGAGCCCCATGTGAAGGCCATGCCATTTCACTATGGCCCGTGTCCCGGGTCAGATGACTGAAGTTCTGTCATTTAGCACCATCTGCTTTGGGTATGCGACACAGGACAGTCACGTGCCCATGATCCCAAGGCTGGCCTTCAGTAACAGTGCACTGCTTGGTGGGAGGGAGTGGGTAATGTCCATGCTCCCTCTCTGGCTCATGCTTCTCGTTCAGCATGAGTGCTGCCACCTGAGCCCCAGTGCCTGCTCGGTGAGGATCTGCTGCAGTGAGATGAAGCAGGGGCCTTAGCACCTGCTACCACAGAAGGATAAACTCTGTTGGGCTAGAGGGCTTGGTAGGTGAAAAACACCTGCCACGAAAGTATGACGGCCTAGTTTGATCCCATCATTCAAGTGGTGGGGGAGAAAACTGACCAACTGAAGATTGTTTCCTGACCTCCACATGCATGCATGCCGTCATGCATGCCCAGAATCATCACACACACACACACAAACACACACACACACACATCACACAAACACACCCATAACAAACAAACACACACAAACTCAACGTACAGCACACACATACAGATGGAGCACAAAGGGGAGGGACAGAGAGAAAGTGCTGTGACAAGTTGCTCAGTGTGATAAGTAGCTCAGTGGCAGAGCACTTTGCAGGGTGCCCTCTCCAGCGACAGAATGGAGTAACCAAAGTAGAAGTTGCAAAATACTGATTCAAAACGCAGCAGCCCCTGTTTTGTCTCGGGTGATGTCACAGTTTGAGTGTCTGTGACAGCGACAGCTTAGTTCCCTGTCCTCCCCACATCCTCCCTGCCTCCTCCTACCCTGGTCTTGTCGGGCATGCTTCATAGTCTTCACACCCAGCCTTGATTTCGCTCCTGACGGGTATTTCTAGCCTTGGTTCCTAAGTTTTCAAGGCTGTTGCCTGTTTCTCCTGGTAAATCTCATCCTGTGTGGGTGGGTAGGGGGCGGGGAGCCTTGATTCAAACGTTCTGATTTGGTTTTAAAATGTTTTCATTTTGGAAAACATCGGATTGTTTGGATCATTTTAAGGCTTTTTGCTTCAGGAAACAAGATAATTTTTCTTAGGGAAAAGTTTTTTTTTCTTCCTCCTGCAAGTTATTTTGTGGCGGTCCAGCGTTCTGTGACTCCTCTAGGTTTCAGGGTGACTTGCATTGCAGGAGCAACACTGAGTTCAGCCTTCCATTCTGAGCCCAGAAAAATTAATGGTGAGAAACTGACAATGATGAGTTTCACCTTCCCAGATGATTTCCTCGGAGGCTTCCAATTACCCTCCGGTGCAGTCTGAAAGGTTAATTTCAAAGCTAGTACCACATCTAATTGTGTAAGGACCACGTGGCATCCAAAGGACAAATCTGTAAGAAATGAGCACCCTTGGAGGAGAACCACTCGCAGTTTATCTTCATTCAGAGAACAGCCCTCTCTGTGCGGCTGCTCTTCCCCGGGGGGTTTTCTGAACCTGTGCAGCTGTTTGCTCAGAGTGGCTGATTGAGCACGCGAGTTCCTGGTGTGGCCACTCCGGACACGTGGTCCACATTAGAGCAGTTTAATACTCTTTCCCTGTTCCCCGTCTCCCTACGCCCCTCCGGTTTGCCTCTCTCTCTCTCTCTCTCTCTCTCTCTCTCTCTCTCTAGATTTCCACACTCACTTCTTTCTGTCTGTCCGTCTGTCCTTCGATGTACAGTTCCCTCCAATGTACATCTTCCTCCATCCTCATGCCCACCTTTTGCTGTGGAGGTCCATCTCCTGTCCTTTGCCCGCTCTTTAGGAATACCAGGCTCAGGTGGAAGAAATGAGGCTGATGATGAATCAGCTGGAAGAGGACCTCGTGTCGGCCCGGAGACGCAGCGATCTGTATGAATCTGAGCTGAGGGAGTCTCGGCTTGCCGCTGAGGAATTCAAGCGGAAGGCAACCGAGTGTCAGCACAAACTGATGAAGGTAGTCAGCCACCCTCCAGGACGGGACTGTGGGGGCACGGCCCTGGATGATCTTCACAAGACGCAAGGCCCTGCTGGCTCAGTGATTGTAGGTTGGAGACACAGTGAGATTCTTTAGAAAACACCCTGTATTTAGTTATAGGTGATAATGAAATGTGTATCTATTGTTTGTCTGTTTGTTGGAATTCTGGTCACACAGGCCATGGAAGCAGAACAGATAGTGACAGTGGCTTGTTGAGGTTTCCCACTATGTTGTATCTTTTTACATTACAGGCTAAGGATCAAGGGAAGCCTGAAGTGGGAGACTATTCCAAGCTTGAGAAGGTGCGTCTTCTGTGATTGGGTTTGCGATTTGGAACAGTTCGTATTTGGACATACTTGTAATATTATCAGTGACTGCTTACCACATAAGAATACTTTTGGAGTGAGTTGGCATATTTAGCATATGTTATTTTTTGGTGAGGGGGATTGACTGCAAGCATTGTCACTGCTGAATTAAGCTTCATGCCCCTACATATTAATGGCTTCTGGATGACCATGTCAGTGTTTAGCTGTGGTTCTAAAAGAGATAAGACATACTTTGTTGTTTTTTTAAGAGAGTTTCATGTAGCCCAGGCAAGCCCCATCCTCATTGTGTGTTGAGGATGACCTTTACTGCTCCTCTTGACTCATCTACCAAGTGTTGGGATGTCAGGCATGTGCCAGTATTTGATTTTTAAATCTATTATTATTATTATTGTCCTACTTTCGTACAGTAGCACATAAACCCAGGCGCTTGTTAAAATTTTTATTGTGGTAAGGCACTGGGCAACTTTCTTTTCATATATGTTGACAGTCCCACAGAAATAGTGCACACCACAGTTTGCCTTGGGACACGCCCATGAGTCTCTGACAGTCCAGTGTTCTTTCTATGCCAGTAAGTTCTAGAGGCTCCACAGAAACCTGGTGGAAATAGGGCCACACTGCAAGTAGTGAGACACAGGCGCTGATCCCTGTCTATCTTCTCTCCCGGGCTTTAATTATAGATCAACGCTGAGCAGCAGCTCAAGATCCAAGAGCTCCAGGAAAAGCTGGAAAAGGTAAGTCTGGTTGAGAGGGGCTCCCCCCATTTCCACATAAGTGTCCTTACCCAGGCCAGTTGCCAGCACAGGAGATGGTGAAGGGTGTGTCTCTCGAAATATCAGGGTTCTGAATTGAAGTTTTCCCTTTGAGATGTAGCTGCGGTGTTTTTTTAAGAACCAAACTTGTGTGAGACTCCAGGACAGAAACCCACAGGTGGGTTCTCCTGCCTCAGGAGGCCAGGCTCCCCACTGGGCATGTTTGTGGGGAAGCTTGGCTTGTTCTCTACCAGGTCTGGGAAAGCTTCCTCCTCAGGGACTGTGTGCTGGCTCCCTGGTGTCGTGGTGTGATTGTGTGTGTTGGGAATGGGGAGGTGTGGACAGAGTTTGTGCTAATGACCCTGCTCAGTAGTACTTTTAAAACTTCGATGGACCCTGCTTTAGCTCTATAAAGGAATAATTGACAAATAATAAGCATATATTTATAGTGCTCAAAATGGTGTTTTGATGTGTATATTCAGCTTTGACATGATCAGGCTAATTAGCATCTTCGTCACATCTTGCCCCTTGAGAGGGTGGAGGGATGGTGACTGGGACATGGTTTATACATCCGATCATCTGTGAACGTGCTTGCTGGCTGCCTTAATAAGGGCAGTTTTGACTTCTTTTAAAGATGTACTGTGATAGCCTGAACAGTGGTGTTGCATTTCCGTTTTAGCCTTTCCAAGTCACTAAGCACATCTGTGTGGCTGGACGACACATCTCTGGGAAGTTTTCACCATTTATCAATGAAAGTCTATACTTGTCCAATGCATCTCCTTCTATTTGACTGCAATAATTAAGATTAGCTTAAACATTACAACAGAAGAACATTCCGTCACATTTCAGGGCCCACTGACTCCCGTATGGCATATTGCAGGTCTCAGAATCAGTGTTTTATCGTAGTCCCCACTTACTTATCCTCACCAGAGTCTCGCTATGTAGCCCAGGCCGGCAGTGAGCTCATTACCCTCCTCCTAGCTGCTGGCATCACAGGCCCATGCCAGACAACTGGCTGCACTTGTTAAAACTTCAGTTCA